GTATCCTTATCTTTTTCCTCCTATTCTAGCTTGGGTAATGGGCTCCTCTTGTTTTGTTTATGTTTGTAGTCATGTGTGTTTTATGTGATTTCTATGATTTCCTTAAATTTGCATGTTCATGAAAAAACATTAGTTTTGAAAGAAATGGACTTTATGATGTTTGTTCCTCATGTTGTTGAGTATTGAGTATGACGTGCTTATAGACTCCACGAGATGAGTTGTAGAATATACCTTGACTTGGAGTGGAGATCCGCGCCTTGATTTTGTGCTTTTGAGATTGAATTGCATTGAATTGAATGGCCACCTCAAAAAGTGTCCAAGCATGGACCACGGAGGGACCTAAGGACGGTAGGTGCGTCCACCCCCCGTGGTCCATCCCTCTGTGGATTGGCCAAACTCTCTGAAAATGGACCACTATTGACTAGGACGGGTTGTAGGTTAGACGGTTCGTCAGTCAGGGGTCTATGGTTCATTAGTGGCGGTTAGGTTTATAGGCTCAATGGTCTTTTCCAGTTTTCATTTAATTGAAGTGGTATTGTTTTGCCTAATCCTAAGACACCTATATAGGTGATTTTAACCCCAAAAATCTCCAAAGTAAGTCATTCTCTTAAAATTCCAAAAAGAATTCCCAAAACTCCTCTAAAATATTTTCTCTCAAGAAGTTGGTAGAAAAATAAGGAGATTGAAGCTACGTCAAGATTAAGTCTACAATTTTCAAACTTATGAGGGATTTGTAATCAAGGTGTGATGGTTTTTCATCCATGGGATCCTTCCTGCCGTTGAGTCTCCTAGAATTTGATGAAGAATTTCCATAGTTCTAGTTAGTCTCGTTGATTCAGTTGAGTGAATTATAATTATTTATGATTGAATTGACAGAATTGCATGTATTAAGGATGGAATTAAATGTATTCATGCCTATCATATGACATTAGGATTGAATTGATATAGTGGATTTGATACCATGTGAGGGTAACTCTATGGGTTAGATATCTCCTTATAGAATTGATGATTTATGATTAGAATCACTTTAGATTGAATTATATATGATTAATATGAAGCCAATTGCTTGAGTAAAACATAGATGATGATCATGAGATGTAGTGTTTTGGGAGTAAATGTCATGACCCAAGTGTACCCCCTAGATTTGACACGACATACTTGACCCCAAAGAGGTCTCATACAAGCCCTTATCATAATAAAAAAAAATTAATAGATTGATGTGAAATAAAAAAAAATTTCAATGACGAAGTCTTTCATAAAATGAAAATAGAAGTCCAAACATTGTCTCCATAAGTCAAATAATACAATCGAGAATCAATAGGGTCACATCCCTTATAATAAAGTCTCAAAATAGAACATACAAAAGGAAGCTAGAAAGAGTCACTCTTGTTCTCAAACCATGAAGACTTACCAAGGCAAGGAGAGAATAAATCCAAGCCTTCAACCAAAGAGAAGCAGCTTCGGTGACCTAGACCTACACTTTGTGGAAAAAGGTAGAAAATATAGGTTTATACAAAAATGTACTAAGTATGGAATACATGCAATAAAATCCTTAAAACATGAAAAAAAGGACAATTTATTTGAAACCATGGACTTTAACATTTTTTAGAGTCATCATGCACAATAGTGTAGATACGTAGTCAAATTAACTCATAAGCAATCCTAAGTCATACTTGTGCTATGCTTAGATAAGATCCCATAACCCTATCTAAAGCTAAGTATCACTTTTGTAACGACCCAAAGTACACTCTAGTCGTTACCGGCGGCGGCGGCCTCTACAAGGACTAAGAGAAAAATTAACGTTCGTCATAGCACATCACAGGTAAGAAAATACCGGAAAACGAAAAAGTTTTGCTTAAATAGCAACGAGATTTACATAGACCTCTACATAGGAAGCATACATAGGCTTCTCGCATAAACAATATACAACATATAAGAGTTTAGTCTAATACTTTATCTCACATTAAACCATCTAAAGAATAAATCACAATAAATTTGGCATAGCCCTTATTCTATTACAGTATGTCAGATAGGCTACAATGAAAGTCTCAACATGAGAATGCAATAATTGTCTCAAAATATAGACAAAACTAGTAAGGCTTGATGGGTGGCATTATCCTTAGAACTCATGAAGACTCACCGTTGACTTAGGAAAGAGTCAAGTCCTCTTCTTCAAAGACCACGAATCTCCTTAATGGCTTGAACCTAAAATGTTTGGAAAAAATGGAGAAAATATGGGTTAGTACAAACCACATGTACCAAGTATGGATCCTATGAACAAAATGATCAATGCATGAGAAAAGGACAATTTAGTCAAAATCATGTTTTTTATCAATTTAGCTCAACATGCATATATCAAAATAATATTAAGTCCATTCAACATAATAGTAACCCAACATATAGATCACCCAAGCAATACTTGTGCAATGCCAAAGGTAGAACCCCATAATCTTATCCAAGGCTAAATATCACAGTAAGCAACCCACTTCATACTTAAAACATATTCTTATAATTCATCATAATACGATTAATACATGAATACTACTCATAGCTTATCAACATAATCATAATCATAGTCATAATCATAAAAAGGAAACTAATAGAACCATCCCTTAGGACCCCACATGTGCAATGAGTAAGAGAAGTCACATACCCTCCCTTACCCTATGTAGAAACCTTCAAGACAACCCTAATACGAGTTCACATACTTAACTTATTCATTTACTTTTACATTAGGGAAAGAAGTGCAATAACCAACATGATACCATGTGAGCTACATGGAACCCGGTGTCCTACTCCCATACCAAAAAGAGAGGGTTAACACTTGCCTAAGGTGTAACCATTCGTCCATAGCTATATAGGTGAATCCACTAAGCTAGAGTCCTATGTAGGCATATAGTTGAGGGTAAAGGAAATTATTGCTAGAAACCTTGACTTACTAACATGGAGGTTTCCATCTCATTAGACAACACATAACTAGGGAATCCAGACTTACTAGTGTGAGAAAACCCATGTGGGAGATCAGACTTACTAATGAGACCCCCATCTTATTTACATGCCCTTTTGGTGCTAAGCAACTATTCCCTTTAGTAACCATCATATAACTTCATACACGTTCGCATAGTCTCTTTTAGACGTTGAAGTAAATATTTTATCACAATAGCTCATATAATAATCACATCATAAAATAATTACATATTTCATAGCCAATTCATAGATATAGGGTTAGGGATGAGGGAACCTTGTCACCAATATCACAACACCACAACAAGTTATAGCATTATTATCACATAAGTAGATTTCACCTTGCATAATTGAGATCAAAGAAGAATCAAGATCATACATCATTGCCTTTCGTGGGACTTCATACTTCAATACCCAAGAACTAAGAACCAACATATGACATAGGGAAAATCATGAAGTATTATCATAACTAAAATCAAAGTAAACAAGGGACATATTCATCACCCTCAACAATTCACCTTAATCAATCCAAGAAATTAGGGATTTTGAAGAAAGACATGGATCAAGGTAAAACTCATAAGAATTCATAAATTGACCATCAATTCATACTTAAAAAACATTAATTCATCACAATTAACTCATAATTTTGTTTTAGAAAGAAGACTCATGTGAGGAGAAAAAACCTTGTTTTGGGAGATCTAGAAATCAGCTTTTGAAGGACCTCTAGGGGGAAGTATTCCCAAGAGTGAAAGTAACCATACCTTATAGATGAGAAAGACATGAAATTTGGTTGAAAAGTTTGAATGCTTGATCTTCTTCTTGGAGCTCTATTGATCTTCAATGGAGTTTTGGAGAAAGAGACAATTTGGGAGAGAGAGATTTTTTAGTTCAACTTATGTGACTTGATTTTTGTGTTGGAATGGACCTAAAACTGATCCTAATAAATTATACGTCACCCATTAAATTACCCAAAATACCCTCACTTAAAAGCGTTTATTTGTGAATTCAGAACTCCCAAAATACGACTTTTTTGATACTTCGGAAGTAGGTGCTTCGCGGGGCTAATTTCCCAATTTATTTTTGAATTTTGAGTTGAGGCATTAGGGTCCGTGTCAGACCCGTGTCACGATGCCAAATCCAGATTCCCACGTGATGGCTTTGTGACGCACAACATCCACCAAACTTGCCTGCGCGTAAGCTGCATTGGCCGCTTGCTCGCCCAACTTCGGGTCCTCCCCAAGGACCCTTTCAGTGGTCCTTGGGGTGTCATGATTGTAAGTTTGACCCTCCATACTAAATTATAACTATTCAAAGTCTTTTCAAAGTTTTAGAATTCATATGAACCTCCAAAACCTTCACCAAACACAGGGACGTCAACTAGTTGAATTTCGCTAGTTTCCGGACGTTAAGGCTTTTCTTTAATTCTATGGCTCCAATACTTCTCAAACAAGTTTTTTATAATTATTTATGCCTAAAATAATTATTCCTCAACATATTATTCTCTATTATAGGTCATGGATTTCCGAGGTGTTACAATATCCCCCCTTAGGAACATTCGTCCCCGAATGACACCTAAACCTTCTATTGGAAAAAGGAAAAAGGACTCAAGACTAGCATACAATTACAACCAAAATCATAGTGAGTCACAACTCATAGAAGGATAATTCAACTCCTTTAAACATAAAAACATATCATAAACAATAGGAACTTAATCCACAAATACCATAACAAAAGCTCAATTTTTCGTATCGCTTAAGGAGATAATACCTTCTCCATTTCAATATGAGCTCAAAATGAACATTAAAAGTTGACCTGTTGATTCCTTATCAAACCACATCAAACATGTTCATTATAATCTTCCATGAGTACTTATAGTACATAACACACTTAAGTGAAACCCAACATAATAAACATTTTTTCATGGAAAGAGAAGAACTCAACTTAAGCATGAATTTCTACTATAATATGCACATATATTTAGAAAAACATAATAAGATCAATATTATACATAATAGACATATAATTAACTACTAATCTCAACCTTTATTAGGATTAAGGGGAGAAAGATGAGGATAGCGAGATTTCATGTCGGCCTCGGCCTCCCATGTAGCTATCTCAGCAAAGTGGTTCCTCCATAGAACTTTTTCGGGGGCAACCTCCTTATTCCTCAATTTCTTAACTTGACGATCCAAAATCACAACCGGTAACTCTTCATAAGATAGGTCCTCTTTTACCCCTAAACCTTCAAGAGGAAAAATGGGAACGGGATCAGCTATACACTTCTTAATCATAGAAACATGGAACACCGAATGAATCATGGACAACTGATTTGGCAACCTCAACTCATTGGCAACACTCTGAACTCGCTTCAAAATTTCATATGGGCCTACATAACGAGGACTAAGCTTCCCCTTCTTTTTGAAACTCATTACCCATTACATGGGTGAAATTTTCAAATAGACCTAATCTCCTACTTCAAATTCAATGTCTCTCTTTCTATTGTCGGGATAAGACTTTTGCCGACTAAAAGCTATTTTTAACCTCTTTCTTATGAGTCAAACTTTCTCCGTGGTTTTGTTAACTAACTCGTGACCAAGAATAGCAAACTCACTCACTTCAAACCATCCAATCGGGGACCAACACTTTTTACCATAAAACGCTTCAAAAGGTGCCATACTGATACTTGCTTGGTAGTTATTGTTGTAGGAGAACTCGATTAGTGGTAGGTGATCATCCCAATTGACCTTGAAATCAATAACACAAGTCCTCAACATATCTTCTAGAGCTTGAATAGTGTGCTCCGCTTGTCCATCCATTTAAGGGTGGAAAGAGGTGCTAAGATTTATTTGTGTACCAAGTCCATCTTGGAAAGATTTCCAAAAATTTAAAGTGAATTGAGTTTCTCTATACGAAAAGATGGACAAGGGGACTCCATGCAACTTCACGATTTCCTCAACATACAATTTAGCATATTCCTTTGCCGAGTAAGAGACTTTTACAAGAAGAAAGTGGGCTGACTTGTTCAATCTATTCACTATGACCCATATTGAGTCATGTTGTCAACGGGTATGAGGTAAACCTACCACGAATTCCATGTTGCCATCTTCCCACTTCCAAGTGGGAATGTAAATTATTTTGGGTAAGATCTCCCAGCCATTGATGCTCGGCTTTGACTTGTTGGCAATTCGACCTTCTAGCCACAAAATTTTCTATCCCTCTTTTCATTCCATTCCACCAATAAATGTTACACAAATCATGATACATCTTGGTGGCCCCCGGGTGAATGGAATATCGTGCACCATGAGCCTCTTCCATGATCTTCTTCCCTTAAACCATCCACATCTGGAATACATAACCTTCTTTGGCACCTAAGTACCCCATCCTCCCCTTGGGAAAAAGATTCATTATTCTTCCTAAAGACCGACTCCTTCAACTCCATCAATAGGGGATCAATACGATACTTAGATTTCACATCCACAACTAAAGACGACTCGGAGCTGTGACGAACCATAAAACCACCCTTTGAAGATTCTTCTAATCGAACACCCAACCATGCCAACTGATGAACATCTTTGACTAATTCTTTCTTCTCATCAACCACATGAACCACACTACCTATAGAGACTCGACTCAAAGCATCTGCCGCCCATTAGCTTTCCTGAGATGGTAATGGACACTCATATCATAGTCTTTTAGAATCTCTAATCATCTTCTTTGGCATAAATTTAAGTCTTTTAGGGTGAATACATATCCTAGACTCTTATGATCCGTGAACACGTCAACATGCACCCCATATAGATAGTATCTCCAAATCTTCAGAGCAAATACCACGGTTGCAAGCTCAAGGTAGTGTGTTGGATAATTCTTTTCATGTGGCTTGAGTTGTCTAGAGGCATATGCTATGAATTTGCCATATTGCTTGAGCACACATCCTAGACTCACTCGGGAGGCATAACAATAAACCATAAACCCATTGGTACCCTCTAGTAAGGTCAATAACGGAGCGGAGGTGAGTCTATATTTTAATAATTGGAAGTCTTCTCATAAGATTTTGACCATTTGAACTTGGACATCTTTTGGGTTAAGACCGTTAATGGAGATGCGATAGACGCAAATCCCTCAATAAACCTCCTATAGTAACGGACGACCCTAGAAAACTCCAAATGTTGGTAGGATTCAAGGGTCTAGGCCAACTTTTTACCACTTTCGTTTTCCTCGGATCGACCTCGACCCCTTCACTAGAGACAATGTGACCAAGGAATGCCACCGATCTCAACCAAAATTCACATTTACTAAATTTAGCGAACGTTGGTTATCCTTGAGAACTCGCAAAACTGTTCTCAAATGATCCATATGATCATCCTCACTCCTTGAGTATATCAAAATATCATCAATAAAGACAATCACGAATAAATAAAGATACTTTCTAAAAACCCAATTCATAAGGTCTATGAAAGCAGTCGGGGCATTAGTTAGGCCAAATTACATTACTAGGAATTCAAAATGACCATATCTTGTTCGGAATGCCATTTTTGGAACATCAACTTCTCTCACCCTAAGTTGATGATAACCCGACCTCAAGTCAATTTTCGAAAAGTAACTCGCTCCTTAGAGTTGATCAAACAAGTCGTCAATCCTAGGGAGCGGGCACTTATTCTTTATACTGACTTTGTTTAATTGACGATAGTCAATGCACATTCTCAATGACCCATCATTCTTATTTACAAACAATACCGGAGCACCCCATGGCAATATGCTTTGTTGAATAAAGCCCTTATCTAACATATCTTTGAGTTGAGCCTTTAGCTCCTTCAATTCGGCCGGGGCCATCTAATAAGGAGGGATTGAAATAGGTTGCGTATCCGGCAATAGGTCTTTGCCGAAATCAATCTCCCGTACGGGAGGAATTCTGGGAAGATCATCGAGAAAGACCTCCAAAAATTCCCTCACTATAGGTACCGACTCTATTAGAGGGACCTCGGATTCAAGATCCCTAACTCTCACTATGTGGTAAAGACAACCCTTTCTAATCAACTTGCAAGATTTTAGACATGAATTGATCTTACCCCTAGGATTTGAATTCCCTCTCTTCCACTCAAACTTGGATTTAGTTGGAATTTGAAATTTGACTACCCTTGTCCTACAGAATCAATAGAAGCAAAGTAAGCATGCAACTATCCATTCCCAATATGACATCAAAATCTAGCATATCAAGTTCTATCAAGTCAATTAATGTAATTCTATAGGTCAAGGTAACATGACAACCTTTATAGACTCTATCAACCACCACGGAAGACCCACCAGAGTAGAAATCAAAAAAGGTTCGTCTAATATGTCAGGTAGTATATCATACTTCATGGATACAAAAGGGGTCACAAATGACAACGTAACTCCGGATCCAACCAAGCATATATATCAAAGGAAAATGATTTTAACATACCGGTGACCACGTCTGGTGAGCTCTCTTGATCACTTTGGGATTGGAGAGTATATAAGTGGTTCTTCTTAGGAGCATCCGGATTTGGGGAACTTGCTTGAGCTTGAGTATTTTCCGTTCCTTGAGACTTCATCATAGGGCAATCTCTCTTCATGTGACCAATTGTTCCACAACCTTAGCAATTACTCGTGCCAACTAGTCATTTACGATCATGTCTCTTATCACATTTTTCACAAAGAGGCTTCTCAACATAAGATCTTCCACCTTTCTCCTCTTAGGGATTGGGGGTAGGCACCTTACTCTTTTTAACCCTTGGAGCATTAGAAGGGCTTTGGTTGGAAAACCTTCTTTTGAACCTTGGTTTGTCTTTTACCACAAACTTAGCCTTGGAATAATTCCCATCTTCAGTTCTTACCTTCTTCAACTCCCTACCAACTTGCTTAAGCTTTTGTCCACAATTTGTTCGGCATGAACCATGAGGCGAGAGATGTACAAGCTAGGAATCAACATAGCCGACCTATACTCATTAACCACAAGATCGGATATCCCCATTACAAATTTGTTCATCTTAGCTCTAGAATCCAAAACCATAGTCGATACTTGGATAGTTGAGTGAACTTGAGGCTATACTCCTTCACTCTATTACCCCTTGACGAAGGTTGATGAATCATTGAATTTTTCCTCCTTCTTAGTTCCAGTGGAAAGAACCTATCAAGGAAATCTGTTTTAAAAGCTCCCCAAGTAATCCGACCTTCTATAACCGGTCTCTCATCCTTCCATTGCTCATACTGAACTTCAGCTACATCTTTAAGTTGGTAGACAACTAGTTTCGCCTTTTTTTTAAGAAGAAACCCATAACATCAAGAACTTTGAACACTTAATCAATGAACCCTTATGGGTCCTCCTCCACCTTAGAACTAAAGAAAGTAGGGGGATTCATCCTTGTGAAATCCCTAATTCTTAAAGTGGTGGTGTTATCATTGGGGTTCCCTTTCACCCTTGCATCCCTAACAACTTAGGTAGCCAACACTTTAGTCAAGCTATGAATGGTCGACCTTATCTCAACATTAGATATCCCTTATTTAATAGGAACTTGAGGGTTTTGAGGAGCTTGAGGGGGAACTGCCTCATTCAAATTCTCCTCTCTAGACCTTCGAGCATTGTTACTCCTTGTATTAATTGCCTATAAGCACAATAAAAGGGTTAGAAAAAAAGGACTAAATAAAGTTATTACTCTTAGACACTACCAAGAAATAACAAGAGAGTGAAAGTTCCAAAGTATCACATAGTCTCTCATTCATAAGTGTGGTGTGCTTCACAATTATGAATAAGATCCTACATAGACATGATTTAGTGAGACATCAATCCTAGTATTTACTTTAACCTTGCTCTGTAACGACCCAAAGTACACCCTAGTCATTACCGACGTCGGTGTCCTCTACGAGGACTAAGACATCCCTTAGAGTTCGTCATAGCACATCATAGGTAAAAAAATGTGGGAAAATAAAAAACTTTTTCTTATATAGCAATGAGGTTTACATAGACCTCTACATAGGAAGCATACATAGGCTTCTCGCATAAACAACATACAGTATATAGAAATTTAGTCTAATACTTTGTCTCACATCAAACCATCTACTAAATGAATCACAATAGTTTGGGCATAGCCCTTAGTCTATTGAAATATGCTATATAGGCTACAAAGGAAGTTTCAACATGAGAATGAAATAATTGTCTCAAAACATAGACAAAACTAATAAGGCTAGATGGGTGGCTTTATCCTCGGAACTCATGTCACCAGTTGACATAGGAAAGAGCTAAGTCTTCTTCTTCAATGACCAAGAATCTCCTCAATGGCCCGTACCTAAACTGTTTAGGAAAAAGGGAGAAAATATGGGTTAGTATAAACCACATGTACCAAGTATGGCTCATATGCACAAAATCATCAATGCATGAGAAAAGGACAATTTAGTCAGAATCATGCTTTTTATC